TCTGTCTAGCCACAGTGTTGGGGCTCCCCCCGCCCGAGTCTCGCTTGTTCCCGGAGTCTCTGACTGTTTGTTCCCCCAGGAGATTGCCGAATATCATAACCTGCTGGACGAGGTCAAAATCAACTCCCAGGGTGAGCCAGAGAGTGGGGGGCTGGCAGGGGGAAGGGGACACCCCCAAACTCAGCCTGATCCCCCCAACTCACTTTGACCGCCCAACCTTCCCCAGCAACCTCCCCCAAATTATCTCCCCCAGATTCACCCCCCAGCCCCCTCCTGACCTTTGCCCCGAACTCCCAGTTTTCCCCAAACTCATCCCCGACCCCCCCCCCCCCAATCCTTCCCACCACCACTCCAAACTCCTACCCACACCTGATGTCTGTCTGCTCCATTTCTCCCTGTAGTGTTGAGCGCTGATGGGTTTGGAGGGGACCCCTTCTACCAATGTCTCGTCGCGGAACTGGCCCCGGAACAAGAAGGCAAGCAAGGTAAGTAAATTCATAGCCCTTGGCAACTCTCACTCCAGTGTCAATCAGGAGTCACTCCGGTGTCAATCAGGAGTCACTCCGCTGGAGTCAGTAGGTCCGATTCCCCTCTCGCTCACTCTGGTGTCTATCAGGAGTCACTCCAGTGGAATCAATGGGGCCAAATTCCCGTCTCATTCACTCCAGGGTCAATCAAGAGTCACTCCATTGGAACCAGCAGTCTGGATCCTGAGCTGGTGTGAATCCAGAGTAGTTCTGACTCTGCGGCTTTATCCCCATCTAAACCAGGGCCAAACCCCGTCTGTCACTGGATCCGGACCAGGACCTCAGCTCCTGTGTGGTGGATCCCCCGCCCAAGTGGCTGGCCCCTGTTTGATCCCTCTCTCTCCCCCAGGTCACCTAATCGGTTACGCCTTATTCTTCTTCGGCTACAGTGTGAACACTGGCCGCATCGTCTACTTGGAGAATCTATATGTGGTCTCTGAGTCCAGAGGTAGGGGGCCATGCTGCGTCCTTTGGGGAATGAGCCACGGCAGGGGAGAGGATGGGGTGCAGGGGGAACAGGAGGCAAAATCGGCCCCAGTGTGACTCCAGTGGAGTGACTCCTGATTGACTCCAGAGTGAAGGGAACAGCGGGAATCAGCCTTGCAGTCAAGAGAGAAGGAAGAGTTTCTGCCAGCGTGTTCCAGGAGCCAGGATGGCTCCAGCCAAGGGTCAAGGCCGCCCGCTCAGGATGACGGCCCCAGAAGGCTCCACCGCCTCTGTTCAGGTCATGGCGATAATCTGGACCGCCGAGTCCGTCAATGGTTAACGAGCCAGGCAACAGGGAGGTGGGAAACAAAGCAGGACAATGTCATGTCATCTAGTAGGACAGCTGTGAACTCCCCACTGTCAATCAGAAGTCACTCCGCTGGCGTTCACAGGGCTGGTTCCCCTCTTGCTCAATCCGGAGTCAATCAGGAGTCACTCCGCTGGCATTCACAGGGCCGGTTCACCTCTTGCTCAATCCGGAGTCAATCAGGAGTCACTCCGCTGGCATTCACAGGGCCGGTTCACCTCTTACTCACCCCGGTTTTTTGGGGGGGGAGAGGGGGAGGAGGCTATGGATGCTGATTGGTGTGGGAGGGAGGACGGTGCCCGTATGGACTCAAATGAGTTGTAACCCTCCCTTTGCGGGCTTTGGCTCCCCAGGCCAGGGGATCGGGAAGAAGCTGATGAGTGAAGTGGCCAAGGTAAGATTTTACCCCCTCTCCCTCTGCCCCACCCCCCAGGTTCTCCCCCAGCCAACCCCAATGAGGGGAGGAGATTGGCTCACGGGATTTGGGCTGGAGTGTCAGGGGATCAGGCACAAACCCCGCCCCCTTCTCCTTCTCCCCCCCCACCCCTGTCCCAGAGGGTGTGGCCCCCCCTGGGGTCAGCAGCGGGCCCTGGGGTCAGCAGCGGGTCCTGGGGGATATGTTCTCAAGGTGCCACTGTCAATAGAGATGGATTAGGGCAATCTGGGATGGATTAAAATGTCTGGATAGGGATCAGGGGCAAATAGAGTTACCCTGGATTGGGAATAGATTTCACAGTCTGGATTGGGATTGAAGGTAGATTGGGGACAGATTAAGCAGTCTGGATTGGGATTAGGAGTAGACTGGGGATAGATTAAGCAGACTGGATTGGGATTGGGGTAGATTGTGGATAGATTAAAATGTCTGGATAGGGATTAGGGGCAAATAGAGTTACCCTGGATTGGGGATAGATTACAGTCTGGACTGGGATTAGGGGTGGATTGTGGATAGATTAAACAGCCTGGATTGGGATTGGGGTAGACAGGGGATAGATTAAACGGTTTGGATTGGGATTAGGGGTCGATTGGGGAAAGATTGAGCAGACTGGATTGGGATTTGGGCTAGATAATGCAGGGTTAAATAAAATGGATTTGAATTAGGATTGGGATTAGGTTTAGACAAACACAATCTGGATTAATATTAGGATTTGATTTTTTTCTTGACTTGGATAATGGATAGTTAGATCAAGGGAGGGTAGGAATATATTTATATAGCCGTGTCATGGTTTTACAGGACTCTGCTCTCTCCCGGCTCCGCATGGTCCCTGGAGGGGGGAACTGCCCTTTTCGGGGGTCCACTCTCTCTCGGGGGTTCCACCTCCGGGAACCGCAGCTCTCCAAGCCTTAGCACACCCGCCTCTCGCTGTGGGTCCGCTCAGGGAGTCCCCTCGCTCTGGACCCCCGGGGCCTCCACTTCCAGAGGGAATAATGCCACCCCGTTCTCTAGCCCGGAGCGACTCTCACAGGAGGGTTTGTTGAGCGTCTGAACCCAGCACAGGAAACTCTCCAGGCCCTTGGTCCTAGCAACCCCCATCTCCAGGCCATTGTCTGGGGTCCCAGCTGTCAGGTGAGGTCACACCTGGTCCTCTGCAACCACAAACCCTCTCCCACCACCTTGTTAAACAGGCAGCACATGGGGAAACAGAGGCACGGGGGCTACTCATGTAAAACACTCAAAAAATCCCCAACTTCGTCACAAACTGTAGTCGGGATTCAGGATGACATGGCTCAATAGGAAGCTAATCCGGATTGGTATAAGGGATAGCGAGTGGATTAAGGGGAAAGTGGATTAAGGCTAGTGTTATCTGGGAGAATCTGGATTAGGGGGAGTTGGGGGAATCTAGATTAGGGTTAGAGGAGGAGTGAGGATTAGGTTTAGATGGTGGTATCTGGATTAGGGTAAAAAGACAATGAGTCTGAATTAGGATTAGAGGGCAGAATCATTTGGGTTATGTTGAGTGTAGGATTTGGGACATCTGAATGAGGATTAGGGTTAGATTGGTGTCTAAAGTGGGATTAGGATTAGGATTAAGAGGGGCTGGATTGGGGTTAAGATGGTATGGGATCTGGATTATGATTAGACATGTTGGGATTAGGACTAGATGGGTCTGGATTAGGATTAGATGGGGCTGGATTAGCTTGGTGGGATTAGTCCATGCATTGAGACTGGATGCGCCTTCCCTCTGACCCAGAGCCGGGCCTC